TACCCAGGCGCCGTCACCATGCCTGGCTAATTTTTTTTTTTTTTTTTTTTTTGAGACGGAGTCCGCTCTGTCGCCCAGGCTGGAGTGCAGTGGCCAGATCTCAGCTCACAGCAAGCTCCGCCTCCGGGTTTACGCCATTCTCCTGCCTCAGCCTCCCGAGTACTGGATTACAGGGCGCCCGCCACTCGCCCGGCTATTTTTTTGTATTTTTTAGTAGAGACGGGGTTTCACCGTGTTAGCCAGGATGGTCTCGATCTCCCGACCTCGTGATCCGCCCGTCTTGGCCTCCCAAAGTGCTGGGATTACAGGCTTGAGCCACCGTGCCCGGCCGCCTGGCTAATTTTTTGTATTTTTAGTACAGACAGGGTTTCACCATGTTGACCAGGCTGATCTCGAACTCCTGACCTCGTGATCCGCCCACCTCATGCTCCCAAAGTGCTGGGATTACAGGTGTGAGCCAACACGCCCGGCCCTAATCTTTAATTTTTTGTAGAGATGGGGTCTCCCTAAGTTGCCCTGGCTGGTCTCAAACTCTTAGACTCTTGATCCTCCTGCCTTGGCCTCCCAAAGTGCTGGGATTACAGACATAAGCCACAGTGCCCAGCCCAAAGAGAGAATTTAATATGACCTTAAACCCACCACCCAGACATAATGACTGGCAGTACTTGCTTGTTTTTGTTGTACTTGCTTTTGAGCATGTCAAAAGGCAGTTTCAAGTAAATCATGGAGGTTGAGTTACTGTTCTGAGAATGACAGTCCCAGAGTGCAAGGCCATCCTTGCTTCTATCTGGAGGTGTCCCCACAATGCTCTTCCCCACTGTTATCAGCTTCCAGGTAGGTATCTGGAGCTCTTGGCATCTGGACCAGGATTTTTGGAAATCAAGTTAAAGAACAACCAGAAAATATAATTAAATATTGGCCAGGTACGGTGGCTCATGCCTGTAAACCCAGCACTTTGGGAGGACAAGATGGGCAGATGACTTGAGGTCAGAAGTTCAAGACCAGTGTGGCCAACATGGTGAAACCCAGCTGTACTAAAAATGCAAAAATTAGCCAGGCATGGTGGCACGTGCCTGTAATCCCAGCTACTGCGCAGGCTGAGGCAGGAAAATTGCTTGAACCCAGGAAGCAGAAGTTGCAGTGAGCTGAGATCATGCCACTGTACTCCAGTCTGGGTGACATAGTAAGACTCTGTCTCAAACAAACGAAAGGCCAGGTGCAGTGGCTCACGCCTGTAATCCCAGCACTTTGGGAGGCCGAGGAGAGGGGATCATGAGGTCAAGAGAACGAGACCATCCTGGCCAACATAGTGAAACTCCGTCTCTACTAAAAATACAAAAATTAGCCGGGCATGGTGGCACACGCCTGTAGTTCCAGTCACTCGGGAGGCTGAGGCAGGAGAATCGGTTGAACCCAGGAGGCGGAGGTTGCAGTGAGCCAAGACTCCAGCCTGGTGAGAGAGCAAGACTCTGTCTCAAAAAACAAACAAACAAACAAAAAACACCAGCCAGGTGCGGTGGCTCACACCTGTAATCCCAGTACTTTGGGAGGCCCAGGCGGGCTGATCATGAGGTCAGGAGATTGAGACCATCCTGGCCAACATGGTGAAACCCCTTCTCTACTAAAATACAAAAAATCAGCTGGGGGTGGTGGTGGGTGCCTATAATCCCAACTACTTGGGAGGCTGAGACAGGGGGATTGCTTGAACCCAGGAGGGGGTGATTGCAGTGAGCTGAGATCACACCACTACACTCCAGCCTGGCGACAAAGCGAGACTCCATCTCAAAATAATAATCATCATCATCTCACCAGGCGCCGTGGCTCACGCCTGTAATCCCAACACTTTGGGAGGCTGAGGCGGGTGGATCATAAGGTCAGGGGTTCAAGACCAGCCTGGCCAAGATGGTGAAACCCCATGTCCACTAAAAATATAAAAAGTAGCTGGGTGTGGCAGAAGGCGCCTGTAATCCCAGCTACTTGGGAGGCTGAGGCAGAGAATTGCTTGAACCTGGCAGGCAGAGGTTGCAGTGAGCCGAGATCCTGCCACTGCACTCCAGCCTGGGTGACAGAGGGAGACTCCATCTTAAAAAAACCAAAACAAAAACCAAACACGGCCGAATGCAGTGGCTCATGCCTGTAAATGCCAGCACTTTGGGAGGCCGAGACGGGCGGATCACGAGGTCAGGAGATCGAGACCATCCTGGCTAACATGGTGAAACCCCGTCTCTACCAAAAAATACAAAAAACTAGCCGGGCGAGGTGGCGGGCGCCTGTAGTCCCAGCTACTGGGAGGCTGAGGCAGGAGAATGGCTAAACCCGGGAGGCGGAGCTTGCAGTGAAGCTGAGAATCCGGCCACTGCCCTCCAGCCTGGGCACAGAGCCGAGACTCCCAAAAAAAAAAACAAAAAAAAACAAAAAAACCCCACAAAAATTAGCTGGGCGTGGTGGCACACGCCTGTAATCCCAGCTAGTCTGGAGGCTGACACAGGAGAATCGCTTGAATCCAGGAGGTGGAGGTTGCAGTGAGGCGAGATCACGACAGCACTCCAGCGTGGGCAACACAGGGAGACTCCATCTCAAAACAAAAAAAAACAAAAAAAAAACCCAAAAAAAACACAAAACCCTGCTCTTGATTTCAATAATTCCACTTCTGGGAACTGAAATTAGTAACTATCAGGAAATTGGGAAAAAACCTTCATACTCAACGGTAGATGTCCTGGGGGTTAATTTCAAAAGGGAACTTGCAGCGGTGGAGCCAAGAATCACGCCAAATTGCACCCAGCCTGGGCACAAGAGTGAAACCATGTCTCAAAAAAAAGGTGGGGGGGGGGGAAGGGGTACTGCAAACAACCTAGATGCCCAGGCAGCCTCAGAGAGATGTGTGAAGGGCGAGAACTCAGAGGCATATGAAACAGTATAACAAAGAAGGGTCTCTCCAATAGTAAATGTTGAATGAAAACAGCAGGGTTCACACATGTACAGCAGAGTCACACCGAGTATGTTAACGAACACAGAACCAAGGCCAGGAGGGAAAGGCACCAGAGTGGCTACAATAGGGCTTTCTGACCAGAAGATGCCAGGCATTGGGTCTGCAGGGAGAACTGACAAAAGAGGCAGGACTGAATTCCATTTGCTGCAGGTTTAGCATTGAAGGCTGATAAACTGCTAGAAATGAGCAGGCAGAGGAATGCCTGAGTCCCTGGGGTGCTTGGAAGGAAACAAATCAAATGTACCTGCTGCTCCTGTATACAGAATAAGCCTGTAACGGTCTGCGATCATCCTGGATCCAAATCAAGGGTCACTCCTCACTCAGTTTTAGGGGATTTGGAACCAAATGCCCCACTATCCCTATCCTCCAGAAGTCCCTGCTGCCTGAAGGCACCTGGTAAAAGGAAGGGGGTTGACCCACCACTGGCTAAATCAGCCTGCGCTCCCCCTGCAGACTCCGTGGCACAAATGATGCTCAGCCAGAGCAGGGGGCCACTGGCCCCCAACTACGTGCAGGAGGTGCACCTGCATCGGGTGGAGTCCATCAGCGACCTACACAGTGGAGGTGAGCGGGGACAGTGAGGATGATGTGCTGGGGGAAGGGACGAAAGCAGGTGCACCCACCACCCCATCGATGTCCCATCCACCCAGCAGGCACACTGCGCCCTTGTCTGACTGAAGAGGCACGGCCGTGGAATGAGCTGCTGAGCGTTTTGCCGCCATCACTGTGTGCCCAGGCTGGCTGCAGCCCTGTGTACAGACGAGGAGGGTTCCTGCTGCTGCTCGTGCTGCTGGTGCTCACTTGCCTGGCGCTGGCACTCCTGGCTGTCTACCTGAGTGGTATGGATGGACAGGGTGCCAGCAGGAATAGACAGCAAGGTGGGGGGGACTGGGAGGCCCTTCTGTGCAGCTGGAAGGAGCCAACTGCAGATGCTGCAGCAATGAAAGATGGGGTGGGAGGCCCGTGGGTGCCCCTGGTCCTGGGCTGGGTCTGCAGGGGTCATGGGGTGGCACATGGTCTGATGATCCCCCACTTCCCATTCACAGTGCTGCAGAGCGAATCCCTGCGCATCATGGCACACACGCTCCGCACGCAGGAGGAGACGCTACTCAAACTCCGCCTGGCCAGCCTCAGCCAGCTTCGGAGGCTCAACTCCAGTGAGACCCAAACACCCAGCTGAGATGCCATTTGGATCTGGGGCCTGGGGGTGTGTGTGGGGGAAATAAAGTGGCTATGGGCAGGTCTCTCCTTCCCTACTGCTGGCTGCCACATCTACACTATTTCCTTGGTGAGATTTTTTTTTTTTTTTTGAAACGGAGTCTCGCTCTGTCACCCAGGCTGGAGTTCAGTGGCCGGATCTCAGCTCACTGCAAGCTCCGCCTCCCGGGTTTACGCCATTCTCCTGCCTCAGCCTCCCAAGTAGCTGGGACTACAGGCGCCCACCACCACGCCCGGCTAGTTTTTTGTATTTTTTAGTAGAGACGGTTTCACTGTGTTAGCCAGGATGGTCTCGATCTCCTGACCTCGTGATCCGCCCGTCTTGGCCTCCCAAAGTGCTGGGATTACAGGCTTGAGCCACCGCGCCCGGCCCCCTTGGTGAGATTTTTGTATAAGAACCCGATGTTAACTTCACAGCTGCCTGCCTCTCCTGATCTCTTCAAGCCAGGCCTAGCCAAGTCTCTGGTGCCAAAGCTTTGTTTTGGGTGGCCCAAGGTCAGGGGAAGGGGCACCAGCCTCTGGGCTCCTCCTGTGGCCTGGCAGCACTCTCTGGCCACCCCAGATGGCAGGTTCTGAAGTCTAGAAATAGCTGCCCCCACAGCAATCACCCAAACTCTGCCAGGCCTCCCAGTGAGGGTCTAGCCTCAGCTCTCAAAGACAGGCTGGGCTCTGAGTAGCAGGAGAGGCACCACTTGGGGAAAGACTGCCTTGGAGGGCAAACGTGACATTGTGGAAGACCCAGCTGGGCCCAAGCCTGGGGTGGTAGGTGGGGAGGGAGAACAGAAAAATACCCAGGGGTTAAGACCACAGAAGCCTGACCATTCTGTTTAATTATCTCTAATAATTCTTAAAAATCAGCACACAAATCCATTCCAGGTAGCTTTGCCTCTCCACCTGCTGTGGTGGCATTTGTCCAGATGCCACCACCCCCCTAAGAGTGGGTCATCCTGGGCCTAAGAAAGGAAAGGAAGGGAAAGGCCCCCTAGTGCCTGCCCCACAGCCCTGGGACAGGCACGTATTTAGCCTGGCCTGAGACAGGGCAGGAAGAGGCCACAGGGCTGAGTGCAGGGACAAAGGGGCCAGGGTCCCAAGTGTCCGGGCCCCCAGCTACCCACTCCATGTCTGTTTTTGGTTTTGTCATTAAAAAAATAAAGTGACAAATACTGGTGGAGACCAGTTGTTGCACTGTCTTCTGTTAAAAATACGGACCAAGGGCATAGAAAGTCTCCTCTTCAGCAGGTCCTGCTTCACAGGATGTCTGCCCGCTTGTCCCGCACACGGCTTCGAGCCTTGGTCCGGGCTTTGAAGGCGGCAGCATTGTACAGGTGCTAGAGTGGGGACAGAGAGTGACACCTTGGGGAGCTGGGAAGGGAAAGGGCTGGGGGTCCTCTTCCAGCCTCTGCAGAATTTCAGGCCTCTAGGAAACACGGGAATAGGGGGAAGAGAAAGGTGCCCAAGGGTGCAAACCTTCTCGAAGCGTGGAACCTTGCAGGCCTTCAGGGCAGTGGCATCCAGCACCAGCACAGGGCCCAGGCCAAAGATGTCACGGAGTAGCTCATTGTTCTGGGGGGCAGAGGGCAGTGAGCTCAGGCCAGACTGAAGCAGCCACACCAGGTGTCCCCTCCCTGTGCATCCCCGCACCTGGAGGTGGTGGTGCATGCCTGAACCCAGCACTTCCTTGAAGGCAGTGTAGATCCGGTGCCGAGCCCAGCTGTCCATGTAGAGCACCTCAAAGCCGAAGCGCACTATCTCTTCTTCACATTCACCGCCCTGCAGGGTAGAGGGGCCAACACAACTGGGCTTGGCTACTATGCCTGGGAGTGCACCCTCACTAGGACACATATGTTCTCACACACACCTCCACGGAGTGCAGCACGGCACGGAAAGTAGAGCGCTGGCGCCGGCGATCAGCCTTGGCACGGTACTTGTTACTGTCAGTGGCCAGAGTGCGCAGGACACTGCAGAGGGCCTCCATGTCCTCATAAACAAACTCCTCCTGCAATGGGAGCGTTGGAAGGTGTGTGGTAGGTAGATGCTTGAGCTCTGCTGGCTCTGAACAGGGCACTGCCGAAACCCATCCTTTCCCTGAAAGACCCTCTCTTCTCTGCCTGGCCCCTTTGACCCTTCCTGGGCGTCTGTCAGGCCAGGACACCGCTGCTCAGGGCACCCATCATGACATCTAGCAGATGAATCTGTGTTGGGGCCACCTCCTCTGCATAATGACCTAAAGCTGCTCTGTTTTCTGTGGCACCCCCTGCATCCAGCCTGTGATGGGCAGGTGGTATCACCAAGCACCCCCCATCCTTGTCCCTCGCACCTCAAGGTCCCGGGCAAGCTCAAAGAGCAGTGCAATGGTTTCACCGGCAGCGATCCGCAGGTTCACACTTTCACTGGACAAGAGCTGGGGCAGCCGGGGCAGCTGCCTAGGGAAGGGGCAGGCTGAGCTGTATGTGTGGGTTGGGGGCCTTTTTGAGATCCACCCCCCATCCCAGTGGACAGCCACCCCTACCTGTCAAGGATGTGGCTGATTTGGGTGCTGGGGCAGATGGTGAGCAGCAATGCCCAGGCCTGCAGGGCAGCACAGAGCAGGCCGTGCAGGCTGGCAGGAACCACAGGAGTTGTGGAGCTGCCCAAGCCATAGAACCGGCTGAAAACACTTTCTAAGCAGGCAAGGCAAGAGACCAGGTCCTAGGAACACAGGGAGGCAGGGGAGCTCAGAGGCAGAGTTACAGCCCTAGATGCTCTACCACCTGTGCCCAAAGACCACTCACCTGGATGTCAGCAGTAGCCACGTAGCAGCCCAGGCCAAGAGCAGAAGCACACTGTTGGGAGAAGGGCAATGCTGTGCCACAGTCAGCGGATGAATCTGGGTTCCCAGCCCTGGAGCTCACTCCCCTCAGAGTAAGGGAGGCTGAAGACAGGGGGAACCCAGCACTCTGTTGAGGGATAAGGTGCAGGAAGGGTTTCATGGGGCACAGGCACACTCACGTGGAGCCGGGCAGCAGGGCTAGCTGTGCTGTCACTGAGCACAGAGACCAGCAGAGGCTGCAGGCTGTGGAACAGCTCCTCACCCTTGGGTCCGGGGCCCAGCTGCACGCAGAGCAGACCTAGCACAGCAGCGGCCAGGGCTTGTTCCTCTCCCTTCCCTGTGGGATGCTTTCCAGTCAGCCTATGCAGCAAGGGCCAGCGTCTGCCCAGTTTAAGTCTCCCATGCACCCCCAGCTCCAACCTTTCTTGAGGCACTTTTCCAGGGCATCAGCTAGCGTGAGGCGGCGCTCCAGCAAGAAGTCGGGGAGTAGGCGGGACGCCAGGGCCAGGCGCAGGCTCTCGAGAGCACCCTGCCGGGTCTTGGCACTGGGGGAGGTCGAGAAGGGGGGTCATATAGGCCAGCCCTCCCTTGGTCACACTTGGAGCTGGGTGTAGGAGTTGGCTGGCAGCCAGGGGTACCTCTTGTCTGTGAGGCAGTCCACATACTCCTTCAGCTTTTCCTCAAGGTCTTCCTGCTGGCCCTGCTCATTCACGACATCCCCCCCTGGAAGGCCACCTGGTCAGCACTGCTTCTTGTGCTCAGCCCATGGAGCCCTCTCCAAGCCCCTGTCAAACTTCCACCCGCTCTCACCAAGGCTGTCCTCTGCAGTGGTGCTGAGAAGGCTGGGGCATTCACTGGTGGTGCTGCGGGCCTCACTGGCTGCCTCATCATCACTGGAACCCGAGTCAGCTTGGGCACTGCTCCGGGCACCTGGGGAAGGTGGAATAGGACACTCAACTTGCCTCTACTGATGAGGGATGGCTGGGGGTACCTCACCCAACCTCATAATCCCAAAAGATAGAATGGTGCTCCTCTCGGAGATGGAAAACCAAAGCCAAAGGTCAGTAGGGTTGGTGCACTCCTGTGTGTGGGCTCTGTCCAGGGACAAGGGCTCACACTGGCAAGGGTGGCTGCTGTGGCAGAGTTTTGGACAGGGTGTGATCACCAAGCTGCCCCTAATTCTAAGAACTACTCACACCTCTCACCTGCAGGAGGAAGTCCAGCCTACACACTGGCCTCTGCTCCCCACCACCTTTTTTTTTTCTGAGAGAGTTTTGCTCTTGTTGCCCAGGCTGGAGTGCAATGACGTCATCTCAGCTCACCACAACCTCCGCCTCCAGGTTCCAGTGACTGTCCTGCCTCAGCCTCCCGAGTAGCTGGGATTACAGGCATACGTCACCACACCCAGTTAATTTTGTATTTTTAGTAGAGATGGGGTTTCTCCATGTTGGTCAGGCAGGTCTCGAACTCCTGGCCTCAGGTGATCTGCCTGCCTTGGCCTCCCAAAGTGCTGAGATTACAGATATGACCAACCACGCCCAGCCTGCTCCCATTTTATCTCACTATCCTACCTGCCAGAGCAGCCCAGCCTTCCCTCATTCACTCCACTGTGCTGGGGTCCCTCCAGCTGCCAAGACTTTGCACAACTTGCTCTCTTCTCCATCTTCTCAGGACTCACCCAGAAGCACCTCCCCCAAGGCCTCCCTGAGTCCTAAGTCTGGGGCTGACACCATTCAGTGAACATGTTCTATACCCTATTAGATGTCCCCCACCCAAACCCCACCATGGTGGTGACCAGTTTAAAGTTATGCCTAGGTATTTTCCTCCTTCCTGTGATCAGCCGTCCTCCCTTCCTCCTCAAAAATAAAAATAAATAAATTTGTGCGTCGTACACACCCCATCCCAGCAGAGTAAACATAAGTGTTTACTGCATTAAGACAGGCTCCTGGTCTAAGCTGATAAGCGAGTCCCAAGACTGCCTCAGGCTCCAGGATAGTCAGCCACCTTGTGGAGTCAGGCCTGCCAAGCTGCCAAGGCTCTAATCAGGTAGCTTCCCAACAGATCCCCCTCCTTCTGTTAACCGGAGCAGGCCAGGACTCCCGCCAACTTCCTTGACCAGTCCAGGAAAGGATCAGGGTTTGGCAAGGGGACTGGCTTCCTGCTCTGTCCGGTGAGTTTGCCCACCCAGCAGGCAACTGAGGCAGAGAGGCAACGGGGAAACTGAGGCCCGGAGAGGCTGGCCGGGTCACCGCTGGGAGCGCGGACTCCCAACAGGCAGTGGGCAGCGAGCTCAAGTTGGGCATGCACGTGGCCAATGACTGCTGGGGCACGTGCCAGCCTCGGTAGAGTTCTGGGAAGCTGCGCGGGGCTGGCCGAGGGGGTTCCCCACCCAGGGCCCTCGAGAACAACTACGGGGACCCAGCAGGACCCCCACCCGCCGCTCATCAGCTGTCCCACGCCCCCTACCCCACTCACCTCCTCCACGGCGCTGACCACCCTTCCGGAGCGTGTTGCCCTTACGGGCGCGAGGCATGCCGGAAACCGGGCGCGGGGAGCGCGGGGTCAGGGACCCGGTGGGTGTGGGCTCCAGGGCAGCGAGACGCCGGCCGGTGCGCTGCGCTGAGACTTGGCCAGACGACGGGCGCCACACGCCCCGCGCGCCACCATCTTCGCGAGGCGCCACCCCCTGCCAAACAGGTCGCCGGGAAGGCGAGTTCCAGGCCATCCGATTCAGGCCCGCATCCACGAGGCTAAAACTACTAATCCCAGGGGCCTGAGCGCGCAGGTGACGGCGGCTGGCTGCGCGTTAGAGCACCACGGGAATGGTAGTCCACGCCTGGGGCCCACCAGCCGACTACGCGCTAGCTGAACTATGCACCCACAATGCCCTGCGCGCGCCCCAGCTCCCTCGGTGCACAGTCGTAAACTCCGAAGCGCCCCTCAGGAGCACCATGGCAGGACTGGCTTCTCAGGGCACTTGGCAGCGGGACGCTCGCGACGAGTCCTACCCCTGCTCCTGGGTCTGGGGACCATGGGAAGGGCTTAGAGCTTGGGATAACAGGAGGAACAGCCAAACCTCAGGCAGTGGAAAAAAGTGACTTTATGATGAAACAGTGCAGACAACAGCTTAACACTTTACCGACCTTAGCCAAGATTTTTGGGGGCCCATCTGCCCGTGCAGCACGGCCCATCTTCTGTGACCTCTCCATGGGCCTAGTGAGGTGTAGGCACAAAGCCCTAGGCTGGCAGCCCTAACTAGCTGGAACCTGACTCTCCCTGGAACTGCTTCCTTGCCATGGAGGAGTCACATGATCTCAGAGGGCCTCTGGTTTTATAAGCGTTTTTTCTGGCCCCTTCTACCCCTCAGGGATTCCAAGGGAAGCGGGGTGTGTGCTTGGGAGGGTTGACTGTAAACTGAATAGAGCAAGAGTGGGACAGAGTAGCTCCAGGACTGGAAAAGTGGCAGCAGGGAAAAGAAGAGGCAGTGGCAGGGGCCCTGGCTTTATATTGCTTCTTTAGGCCCAAGCCTGGGCTCCTGGCAGGTGGGGCCAGCCCAGCCACAGTAACAGTGGCAGCTGAAGGACTTCCAATCTCCAAGGCTGCCGTCTGGCCACAGGTGTAGAAAGGCTTCCATCTGTCCTGGATCTCGCCGGGCACAGCGCCCGTGACCATGGCACCGCTGGTGACTGCAGGCCATCGCTGCCCTGGTCACATTGATCACATAGGGTCCCAGGGTGTCCACCAGGTAGTCATGGAGATGCCAGCACGCCTCCTAAGGAGAAGGGAAGAGTTGTGTCAGTATGCCTGCTCTATAGTCTTGACATGGCCGTCCCCCACCCTGGGACCCCAGCATGTGCTACATGGCAGGCTCAAAGGGGCAATGATCACCTCAGAGCTGGAGAGGCTCAGATCCCCCCAGAGCACCACGCCGGCTGCCCCTAGCGCTGCACTCACACCAATGGTCTGCACAAGGTCATCCTGGAGACAGAGAGCTGCTAAGCCAGGGCTGGGCTGGCCAGATCCATGTGGGCCCACATCCACATTCAAGAAACTCTTCTGGTTCACTGTCACAATGTGATTCTACCTCTACAGTAGGGCCCCTCTAGTTTGGTTTGGTTTTAGAAGCAGGGTTTTACTCTCTCATCCAGGCTGGAGTGCAGTGGCATGATCATAGCTCACTGCAGCCTTGAACTCCTGGGATCAAGTAATCCTCCCACCTCAGCCTCCCAAGTAGCTGGTACTACAGGCACATGTCATAACACCTGGCTAATAATTTTTTAGGCTGAGCACGGTGGCTCACACCTGTAATCCCACACTTTGGGAGGCAAAAGCAGGAGGATCACTTGAGCCCAGGAGTTCAAGACCAGCCTGGGCAACATGACGAAATCCCATCTCTATAAAAATATAAAAATTAGGTGGGTGTGGTAGTATGCACCTGTAGTCCAGCTACTCGGGAGGAGGCTTAGGTGGGAGGATCACTTGAACCAGGAAGTGGAGGCTGCAGTGAGCTGAGATCGTGCAACTGCACTCCAGCCTGGGCAACAGAGCAAGACTCTGTCTCAATTTTTTTTTTTTTGGTAGAGACTAGGGTCTCACTGTTGCCCAGGCTGGTCTCAAACTCTTGGCCTCAAGGAATCGTTCCATCTCAGGCTCCCAAAGTACTGGGATTATAGGTGTGAGCCACTCACCCAGCCCGAGTAGGGCCCCTTTGTATCGAGTCTCTGAGTGACTTCTCAGGCCTTCCACTCAGAATATCTCCCCTCAGACCAGCACTCCAAAGGCTGGGCCTCCCTACCCCTCAACATCTTCCAGGGCAGAGCCATGCCTCCCTCATCAGATACTCCAGGACAGGGCCTTCCACTCAGAACCCCTAGATTAGGACCAACCCCTAGGCAAGATCTTCTCCTGGGACCTTCCTAGAACAGGGCCATACCTCCTGACTAAGACCCCTAGACCTCAGCTTCCACTTACCTGGGACAGGAACCTCCCAGATCTCCGGTGTGTGAGGCGGACATAGGCCAGGACAGGCAGGGGATGTCGGTGCCCAACAAGGGCCACACGGAAGGCCTCCTCCAGGCGATGTCGGACAAAGGCCTGGTGGTGGGCAGGCGGCAGCCTGGGTGGGAGGTAGATGCTGGGGAAGAGGGCACTGGAGGCGGCCCAGAGCCAATGCAGTTGAGTGTTGCGGGCCAGGGTGGCTGCATGGCAGCGGCCGGTATAGTTGGAAGCCATACTATGCCAGCCATTGCCGCAGGCTGGGTAGCGATAGAAGCCCCAGAGTCCATGGGGCCGCAGTGCCTGGCCCATCCGCAGCGTATCCTCCATCAGTGCACGGGCTGCCTGCTCAAAGCCAATATACGCCTTGTAGAGCTGCTCCTGAGGGTCCAGGTCAGGGAATACCTGCTGTGCCCAAGCCCAAGAGGCTGCCTGATAGGCCCGGCGGCGGCCCCAGTTCCCAGCCCAGAGTGGACACCACTCCTCCCAATCCAGCACTGCTGGGCCAGCAAAGCTGGGTCTCAGGCTGTGATGGATCTGGTAGGCAGCCAGTGCCAGGTGGCGGTCAAGGGGCAAAGCCTGGGGGATGCCCCCATTGTGAGCTGTGCCCCTGGGCCCAAAGTAGGGATAGAGGCCGAGTTGGTTCTTGTAGAAAATGGTCATGTTCTGACCGTGGAAATGCTGGTCACGGTTGGCTATGATGCCCAGGGCATTGAGTGGCAGGTGCACACCAAAGCGGGCCTTACAGTGTGCTGAGGGTACATTCCACAGCACAGAGAAGGGGTGTTCAGGGACCTGTGGCAGGGGCTGGCCACAACCCAGGCACAGGGCCACCCCCAGCACCAGGGCTGGGCCTAGTTGCGTGGTCATGCCCCAAGGATGGAAACCTGCAGGAGAGAGGGGGGTGTGAGCTTAGAGTCCATAGCTATGACCACACTTTCCACACAGCAGGGAAAGCCAGGAAAGCTCCCCCAGCTCCTTTCCATCCTTACAGGAAGAGCTGGGGAAAGCATGTTTCCCCAGGGGTCTCTTGGGCCTTTTAAAACAGCCACACCACAAGCTGGCTATGATGCCCCGGGCATCGAGTGGCAGGTGCACACCAAAGCGGGCTTTACAGTGAGCTGAGGGTACATTCCTTCCCATATTCCCCATCTTTGTCAATACACCACTGTGTCCTCCCACGGCTGTCACAAGTCCCCTTTTTTCCTCTGTCCACCTTGTTCCCTCTTCCAAGAACACTCAGCTCCCACCTCCTTACCTGCCTGGTTTAATTCCTACCTAGCACTCAGGTCTCTGCTGTGACATCATTGCCCTGGGAGGTCTCCTGGATCCCTAGGTGGAGTGAAGTCACTTGGATTCCCAAAGCCTGTGTACCTCCCCTGTGCCATATGGATCCTGCTACTGTATGCCTGTTTGTCTAGTTACCCACTGCCTATGTCCTGTCCAGGGCTTGACACACAGTAGGCGCTCAGTGAATGGTAATGAGTGAGTGAATGGGGAAGAGAACAGCCACCCTGTCTCCTGAGCCTGGTGGGGGGTAAAGGCGAAGGACAGGCATCCTCCCATCAATGGCCTTAGGACCAAGGTGGATCTGGGGACTTCTGCAGGGATAAGGGACCTGCAGAAGAGGGGAGAGGTGAGGGTAGGGGGGTCAACAAATAAACTCTGTCACAGCCACACCCAACAGAGGCTTTATTCAGCCACACTGACGGCTCTGAGCCAGAGCCACCTCCTGGCCCCACTGGTACCCAGGAAACATGCCCAGGCTAAAGCTGCCCCCCAAGGGCTAGGGGGCTGAGGTATGATCAGTGGGCTGAGGTTTGTAGACTGTCCAGGGCAGTCTATTGACCCAGAAAGACAGTTCCTTGCCCTGGATGGCCTCAGATGTCTTTTTCCATCCAGAATATGGGGCGCCCCCTCACATTTTGATATTGTGTCTCCAGCAGGCTTTTTGAAGGGGGCCCTGATGGAACTGGGGGTGAGGTGGTCAGGCACTCAGGTAGAGGAGGGGGTGGTGGCAATGGAAGTCCCTTGGGACCCCTTGGGGCAGCTTGGGCAGTCAGGTTTGGGGCCTTCCAGGGTGGCCGGGGAGAGGGGCCTGTGGGGAAGGCATTAAGCAGGGTGGCAGGCAGCCATCTGCTGGTGAAGACCAGGCCCTGCACAGGCTTGCCCAGCTGGTAGCCCAGGTGGGTATAGAAGTGCACCTGGTCATGGGTGGTGAGGTGCAGCTTGCGGAAGCCCCGGGCCCGAGCAAAGACCTCCAGGCCCTCCATGAGGCAGCGGCCAAAGCCACGGCCCCTCAGGGCCCGGGCCACCACCACTGTCTCCACTAAGAGGCTCTGGGGCTGGTTCAGCACCCGTGACAGGCGGGCATGGCCCACCACAATGGGTGCTGCTTCAGATGTGGGGTGGGGGCTCAGCAGCATCAGGCAGAGGGGGAAGGCATCTGAGGACTGGCCCAGGGAGTGAAGGCGGGAGGCGCGGCTGCGGGGCCACTGATCATTGATGAGGTCAGCACAAGCGTCCAGGAGCTCGGGTCGGCGGTGCACAGGCTCCAGGGTCAACTCAGCCAGGCTAGGAGCTGGTGTCTCCTCTGGCTGGTGTTCAGGATCCATGGTAAGCTCAGCTGGGCCAGGATTGAAGGTCATCTCTGGTTGGCATGTGGAATCCAGGGGCAGCTTTGGCTGGCACGCAGGATCCAGAGTCAGCTCAGCTGGGCTGGTACTCAGGATCAGCTCCATCCGGTGTGTAGGGTCTAGTGTAGGGGTCAGCTTGGCTGGGCCAGGGCTCAGAGTCAGCTCTTGCCTATGCACAGGATCCAGGTTCAGCTGAGTCAGGCTGGGAGCCAAGGTCACCTGCTGCTAGGTTGCAGGTGGCTCAGTGCCAGGCTGGAGGTTAAGACCCCAGTCTCCAGGCAGTGGCATCTCTTCAGACCACAGTGGCTCTCCTCCTGTAGATAACAGCCATGCTGGGCTGTGCCAGGAGGGAGGGTGGGGTTGGGGCAGGGAAAGGCTGACAGAGTGCGAGGGGGACCATGCATACTGGAACTGGGGAGTGGTGGGCTGCACTTTGTCCCACACTCACCTGATGGCACAGGTGACCTGGAAGAGACCCATCCCCTATAGAGCAGGGCAGATAGATCCAGGTGTCTACCCCACATTGGAGGGAGGCTGGGAGTGATGGATGAGCTGCTTAAGGCTAGGACAGAACCTAGGAGTTCTGGCCCCAGCCTGCTCTGGCTACAAATTTGTCTTCCTCAGGACCTCCCCTCACAGGGGGCCTGTAACCACCAGGTCTATAAAACAGCCGACCCAATCCACCTGCTGGCCTTCTGTCTTCCAGTAGTCCTCCCAGTCCACCACTAGGGCATGGGATAGAAGATGCAAAGCAGACACTATACCCCCTGCTCAAACCTACCTCAAGGTTCCCTCCATAGGAAAAACTGCCCCAGGAGTCTTCCTGTCCCTTTCTTCTCCCTATGTTCTGAGTCTCCTCCAGCTCCCAGCCTTTTCAACTACCTGGGCTATGCCCACGGCCTTAGTGGATCCTGGGGCCCCACTCATGCAACCATCAGGCTGAGCTTTGGCCTGTCTTGACTGCCTTCCCTGCCTGGAGCCCCTGGCCCCCTTCCCAACTCTGCCCATCTCAGGACACTTTGGATATAGACCCAACTGTCCCCTCAGATGGGACCCCAGCAGCACCAGCACTGGGCCTGGTCCACAGCCACACAGCAGTATTGCCTCTGCAGGCTTGGTTCCCCACTGGCCTGAGTTTCGCAGGCACCCTAGATAAGGACCACAGCTTCCTTCCTATATACACAGGGTGTCCAACGGTCACCAGGTTGGGGGCCTAGGCCTCCTGTGCCCAAACCCTACTGTTTTCCCATCTTAACCAAGGTCCTGCTGTCAGGCAGGTCTACGCTGGGGGTTTTCTAGTGGTGGGCGGGCAGCTGGGCCCCCCCCTTCTACTCACCTGCTCCAGAGGGGGCCTCTTGGCTCCCTTACCTCTCCTGAGCTTGAGGCCAATTAAACACTGGTCAGTAACAGGCACCCCACTCCGCTCACCTCCCACCCCATTCACAGGGCTATAAGCCCCTCACCTGCATCAGCCACCTCGGCAGCAGCTGCACCCTTTGGTCTGGAGGGAGGAAATCCAGGATCCGCCCCTAGGGCTGAGCCCCGGGCTTCCCCGCGGCCTTAACCCCTTCAGTGCCGACCCCACCCACTGGGGCGGGGCTCCGGGGTCCTCAGAGAGTCGCTTCTCCGTCTCTCCCGGGCCTCGGTTTCCCCCTCCCTTCTAGTGGGTCACAACAGGCTGTGGAGCTTTTGGGAATGGGGACTTCGAGAGCTCGACTCTGTGGGTAGGTGTGGCTCGGCATGCTCTAGAAACGAACGACTGACGCGGGGAGGGCGTGCAGAGTGGCATGGCCACTTGGGGACCGCACGCGCGGGGTGGACCTACAGGCAGCAAATGGGAAGGGTGCGGTACTGACATGTTGAAGCCGGCCTCCGGGATGTTCCGCGTCCTAGCTCCGCACAGCTGGGTATCTCACTCAGTCGCCCCCTCGGACTCCTCGGTCCGACAGCGCTGGCCCCCAGCGGCGCGGCGGATGTACTGCAGCCGTCGCGTCCTGCGGCGCGCCAAGGGGTTCCAAGGTCTCCCGGGGTGCCCCGGCAACCGCGCGTCGCCCCGGCACCCGCGCGTCGCCGCTTAGGCCCCGCCCCTCGTTTACGCGTCACAACACCCACCAGGCGCAGGCTCAGTCTCCACCCTGCTGAGCTGAGCTCCGCCCCTGCTGAGCTCCACCCCATCTCCATTTGAGTCCGCCTCCTCCCCACTCGGCCCCATACAGGCCCCGCCTCCTGCTCCTTGCGTCAGAGCTTAGGTCCCGCCTCGATTTGGCTTCTTCCAGGCCCTGCCCCGGCCCAACACGTCACCACTTCAGCCAGGCGCAGGCCCCGCCTTCAGTTGACTCCGCCTCTGCCAGCCCCGCCCCAGGCTCGGACCGGTCCAGCTTCAGTTCCCGCCTGCCTCCCACCCCAGGACAGCTTGGAAACGGTCAGATCCGGTGGGGCTTCCTCCTGAAATTTGGGCCCCACCCTGGGAAGCAGCCGCTCTTAGACTGACGTCAAATCTGGTGAGAGTGACAAGCCTTTCCTGTGCCCTTTGCATACCGGGGCCTGGACATTTTAGGCGCTCAATAAACAGCTAGGTAAATCATGACTGCTTTATTTGCTGGGCTGGTGCCTCTCAGCAGACTCAGGGGTCGTGCAGGGCTGGTTACCATAAACTCAGTAGGAGCGCAAGGGCTGTACCCCCAGAGCTAGACAGCCTGGGTTTGAATCTCAACTTCTCCCTTTTCGTGCTGTGCAACCTTGGGCAACGTGTTTACCCTCACTGTGAGTGACTCAGTTTCCTTATAGTCTCATTGTGAAGAATGAATAAGTCCACATAAAATGCTTAGCACGGCGATTGGCAAAGAGTAGGCACTCAGTGAATGTCAGCCTTTGTGATTGCTGCAGTTCAAAGACTGGCTCAGTGTCTCTGGAGGAATTGTCTATGACCTTGCCAAGTGGATGCATATGGACATGAAATGAATGGTGTCTGCTGTAGTTCAAACTCCTTATGCCACTGTTCTAGTCTGTAAGTATGCATGTGCAGGGAATATGCCCATGACAGTGGCTGAGTGTACTCTTCACTGTGACCATGACTTATATGACTGTGCCTGTATTTGAGGAAGCCCTGGCCAGACCCAGAGTGCATTAGGTTCTCAAGGTGCGCAACTCAATGTGTGGCCAATCACCACATGCTCTTCTGCTCACACCACGGTCCCTGCCAGCCAGGGTAGCATCGACATTTGAACTCCACGGCCATCTGTGCCTGATCTTCAAGTGAGAGGGCACCCCGCAGGCTCAGGGGTCCACCATCAGGCGTGAGCTGGATGGAGAAACTGGCAGGGTTAAGAATGAGGAGGGCTTTAGGGTGGCTGGGGCGGCGGACACAGCGGCCATGGCTGGAGCACAGGGCTTGACTGCAGAGAAGTGCCCCACTGGTCACATTCAGGATGAAGGGCCCCAGGGTAGTGTCCATATACTCCTTGATGGCCTGACATGATTCCTAGGTGGGAGGGGAGGAGAGCATCAGGGACACCTTGGTCATGTATGGACCCTCCTAGGGCACTGAGACACTCACCTGCTGGTCAGCCAGGACTTTGCAGGTAGAAAGGGTAAGTCAGGGTCTACCCAGTCAGCTTAATGACCCCACCTCTTCCCCACCCCCACCCTCATGCCAGGCCTAAGCTCACCTTGGTTCTTGTATTTTCCCAGCTCACCCAGAGCACCACTCCAGCTGCCCCCTGGGCTGCACTCTCCCCCAGGCTGTGCTCCAGCTCATCCTGGGAAGGAGACAGCAAGTTCTGTGAGGACTCCTTCCCACCCTGTGGCAGACTGCTGGAACACCATTGGATGGAGCAAATAATTCATAACCTTCACCTGGGGCTGCTCTGGCCACGGGACCAGAGGCAAACTGCTTCCTCCTCTAGCCTATGAATTCCAATAAATGTTGAATTGCCTGTGCCTGGCACAGAGCTTGGCACAAAGTATGCACTCAATTGATGTGCCCATGCACCAGGCATGGTGGCTCATACCTGTAGTCCCAGCATTTTGGGAGGCTGAGGTGGGAGGATCACCTGAGGTCAGGAGTTTGAGACCAGCCTGGCCAACATGGTGAAACCCCATTTCTGCTAAAAATACAAAAATTAGCCAGGCATGTTGGTGGCATGCCTGTAATCCCAGCTACCCGGGAGGCTGAGGCAGGAGAATCGCTTGAACCTGGGAGGTGGAGGTTGCAGGAGCTGAGATCTTGCCCCTGGTACTCCAGCCTGGGTGACAGGCAAGACTCCTGTCCTCAAAAAAAAAAAAAAAAAAAAAGAATGAATGGATGAAAATGTCCCAAGGTTGGGGGCCGGGCACGGTAGCTCATGCCTGTAATCCCAGCACTTTCGGAGGCTGAGGCACACGGATCACGAGGTCAGGAGATCGAGACCATCCTGGCTAATACAGTGAAACCCCGTCTCTACTAAAAATACAAAAAATTAGCCGGGTGTGGTGGCGGGCGCCTGTAGTGCCAGCTACTCGGGAGGCTGAGGCAGGAGAATGGCGTGAACCCGGGAGGCAGAGCTTGCAATGAGCCGAGGTCATGCCACTGCACTCCAGCCAGGGCGACAGAGCGAGACTCTGTCTCAAAAAAAAAAAAAAAAAGAAAAAAAGAAAATGTCCCAAGGCTAAAGTACCCCAAGGCTGGACCTAATATCTGACAAGGCAGGTTGACAAGGTGGGCAGGTTACAGAAGACTTACCAGGGGCAGAAAGTGGTTTGTCATGTCATAGAAGATCTGGACATAGGGCAGCACTGGCAGATTGGGGTCACCAGCAGCCACAGCCACACGGAATGCCTCAGCCACACGGTGCTGCACATACATCTGTGACTTCCCTGTGCCCTCCAGCACTGCGGGCATGTAGATGCTGGGGTAGAGGGCACGACTCTGGCCCCACAGCCACCCTAGCTGGTCATTTTGGGCACGGATGCCTGATGGGCACTGGCCGGTGTAGTTAGGGCTTAGAAAGTCATAGTTGTAGCAGTCAGGGAAGCCATAGAAGCCCCAGAGGCCGCGAGGACGCAGTGCCCGCCCCAGCTGGAGGGTGCCTGCCATCCAGGCCCGTGCAGCTCCCTGGAACTGGTCCTGGGCTACTGCCTCCACCTGAGTAACTGGCCAATCAGGGTGCTGCGCCTGTACCAGAGCCCGTGAGCGCTGCCGGTAAATGTCCTTGGTGTCCCAGTTGAAGGCCCAGCGTGGGCGCCATGCCTCCCAGTCGATGACTGCCAGCCCTGAGAAGTCAGGAGCAGGTATGGCAGCCAGGATGTCCTGGAATGTGCGGGCCAGGTGGGCAATCAGGCTGGCATTCTGGGGCAGACCACCAAACACAGGCTCCCCAGTGGGTGTGTAGTAGGGATAGGTGCCCAGCTGAGAGCTATAGAAAATTGTCATGTCAGGGCCACGGAAGGTCTGCCCTGGGTTGGCTACCACATCGAAGATACTGACATCCACGTCCACGCTGTGCCTCTCCAAGCACCACTGGGTGTTTGCATTCCAGACGGTGGCGAAGGGCCGGTTGGGTAGCAAGGGGCCCCTAGAGCCTTGGGCCATATCAAGTAAGGTCAGGAAGAGGGTGCAGATGGGAAGCAGGTGGGCTGCCATGGCACGGGAGTGGTCGAGGACAACCTGGCCAGGGGAGGCAGAGCTGAGAATAGGTTGCAAAGTCTCTCATCCCCCACTGCTCAGGGCTAGGGGGCTGAGCCCTTGCACATTAATCCACCGCTGCTCTGGTTTCTGTTAAACATTGACCTGCAGGGCTCCAGGAGGGCAGAGGAGACGCATGGAGGCGAGTATGGCCACTGGAGGGCACATCCGAGTTGCCTCTCTGACCAGGCCTCTGCCATCTCCCACAGGACTTGCTCTAGCCTAAGCTCGCCCACCCCTGCTTCCCCATGAGCCACTGAGGCCATGACATCTGTTCTGGGAAGAGTGGCTGACAGCCAGGCCCTCAGCCCCCAGGCTGACCCCACCAAGGGGAGGAGGACTTCCTGTCTTTTCCACCAGAAATCCTGGCAGCCATTGGAGGAAGATCCAATGGCCTCAGTGACCAAGGACAGGTCAACCCAGCCCTCCTGTACACCCGCCAGTCTGCCCGCTCGTCCCTGCTGACCTTGGGGCTGAAGGGCCTCATCCTCCAAATTTCCTGACCCCAGGATGGGGGCCTAAGCAGGGCCTGGCTAGATTCTACCCCAGCAGCACCAGTGACTCCTGGAGGAAGGAGCGGCTGCTGGAAATTCTGAGCTTTTGTAGGGGGTCACCCCGCCCAGGCCAGGGGCGGGCCAAGGGGCGGGCCTTGGATTGGGAAGCCAGGCCAGGCCAGGCATCAGGGCTACCTCTGTAATCCCTGGCAAAGGGATATTGGTTGGGGGTGGGGCTGGGCCAGCAGTGGCCCCTCCCACGCTGTCAGCACTAGGGCAGGGCGTTGTGATGTTACTGGGGCTGCAGGGGGTGGGCGGGGGCAGACCCTGCTGGGTAGGCCTGTTTGTGACACTGGAGACTGGGTTCCT